CCTGATTGCTGGCAGCGTGATTAATGGCTGCGATCAGGCAGCTGCAGCGCGAGCGGCTGTGTGCTGTGTTCTGGCGGGTGAGTGATTTTCGGGATTTCCCCCCCCCCCATCGATCGGCCAGTGCCAAAAATCGCTCACCTGCCAGAATGAAGTGCGAGCCTGAGTTTTTAAGTGGCAAATGGCCGCTTGATGGGGCGGGGGGAGGAATGCCGAAAATCGCTCACTTGAGCCCGATATTGTAAGGGGCGGGAGCGGTTGTGTGCTGCGTTCTGGTGGGTGAGTGATTTCGGCACCCCCCCCCAATCTTCCCCAAAAGTTTAATCCCCCTATTTTCTAAATTTTGAGGCCTCCAAAATAGGGGGCGTCTATGGAAAAATACGGCCCTTATTGGTGGCATCTGTCCCCCGCCCCCCCTGGCTACACCCATGGGGGGACTACAGGAAGGAAAGAAGGTTGGGAGCTCCTAGAGAGCGTTTTCTGACACCTCTGGACTCTTCAGAACCCGAATCTTTTTAAATCTCAAGAAATAAAAGTAAAATCTTTGAGAGAAGAATCCAGGTGGATACTTCTGTTGTTTTCTTTGGGCTTCCTATTTAGACGCTTGAGGTACGAACACTTCTTTGTGAGATTGTTTGCCTTTCTAATTAAAAGCTAAAGGTTGCACTTAAACTGGCAGAGAAAGAACCGTTAAACGAATGCTCAGTGTGCTTTACAAGTTGAATCTTTACAGGTTTACTCAGAAGTACCGTTGAATGCTTGGCTGCTTGCTTCCAGTTAAGTATGCGTAGGAATCAGTATGAGATGGGGCAGTTGATATGGCAGTGTTTCATAATTAGAATACGAAAGAACTCTTCTATCCACCTGCCTTTTACCCTCCAACTTATTGTTGAAATAACTTGTTATAGTATTATTAGGTGGAATTTACATGCATTGTTCGTTTGTTAAGTGCTATATCTTCTCAGGTTTTGAATTTTCTCTCTAGGTGACATTTCCTTAGTGGCATACGATTGTGATTGGCTCAGATCATTTGTTATGGAAATGGTTAAGCAATCCATAATTGTGAGGGTCTTAAATGAAGGAGCTTAATGTCTAAAAAAAATTCTTGGACAGAAGAATTAAACAAACGTACATAAATCCCAGCTTCAGTATCAGTGTTGATGAATTTGTATGATATTGTTGTGGAACTAGACTTCATAGCTGCTTCATAGAAGCTTCTGCTTAGTTACCAGGCCCAGCCATAATTTGTAGACCCTTGACATATAGGGTGTAGATCTAGGTTTCTGTTCAATGTAGCTTTTATAACCAGACTTCGAAACTACTACTACCTTAAATTTTAAATATGCCCACAAAACTCCATAGAAGAGTAATATATTCCCCAGAAATCTTTAATGGTTTAGTTGAAGCAGAGGCGCCGAGTTCCGCACAGCATTGGGGTGGCTCATCGCATGTGCATGACATCACACATGCAACACGCTTGTTGGGAGCAGGTTGCGAGGCCCAGGGAGGGCTTCTGCCACCATGGGTAAACCCAATGTGGCCCTCCACTGCCATGGGGAGACGAAAGGGGGCTCTCTGCAGCCACAGGGAAGCATGCTATCAGACATTATGACATATCAAAATATCATTATGTTTAGCTGGTGATATATTGCGATATTGAAAACCAGATATCACCCAGCCCTACGTACATGTATAAATGTGTCTTCCTGGAGTAAAATATAACAGAATAAACAAGACTTCAAACCAAGTGGTTTCAGCTTATCTGAACCAGCATTGACTGGCTTTGCTTTGTATGGACAAGCTGTGGCTTGTTGTACAGGGTTCAGTGGTGAGCTGAGACTCAGCCTTACCTCAGCTCTTGTGTTCATAGAATCATAGAGTTGGAAGAGACCACCAGGGCCATCGAGTCCAACCCCCTGCCAAGCAGGAAACACCATCAGAGCACTCCTGACATATGGTTGTCAAGCCTCTGCTTAAAGACCTCCAAAGAAGGAGACTCCACCACACTCCTTGGCAGCAAATTCCACTGTCAAACAGCTCTTACTGTCAGGAAGTTCTTCCTAATGTTTAGGTGGAATCTTCTTTCTTGTAGTTTGGATCCATTGCTCCGTGTCCGTTTCTCTGGAGCAGCAGAAAACAACCTTTCTCCCTCCTCCTCCTGTGTTGATCAGTTTGTATTGTTGTGCTCCAGTTTAGTGTTAGAAACTGAGATATGAAGGTTGGGAGCTAGATGGCACCTTAAACCTAGGTTATGGGTGCAGCAACAGAATGTCTAGGCATTCTTTTTTAATAACAAGAATACAAAGCTGAAAATGAATGAACTGCAGTTAAAATATTATGTTCATTTTTCCCATGGTCTAGTCCAGGGGTCCCCAAACTAAGCTCCGCAGGCCGGATAAGGCCCGAGGGACTCGTTTATCTGGCCTGCGGCAACCCCCACTGCTGCCACCCACTCTTACCGGCACTGCGCTGTGCGGCTGCCCACTTCTGGGTCGGAGGAGCACTGGAAATAGCTTATGCGCATGCATTATTTGCGCATGCACGAGCATTATTTCTGGTGCCCATCTGGGTCAGAGGAGGCCCGTGCACATGCACACACGCTATTTCTGGTGCTCCTCCGATCTGGAAGTGCGCCAGAAATAGCGTGTGCGCACCTGTATAGGCACACACTCCTCCGCCCTCCGGCCTGCCACGCAATCGGCACTGGAGACACTAGCCTAAGTTTGCTGACCCCTGGTCTAGTTCTTCCCCTGCCCCTGCCCCAATGTTCTTAAGAGGGTCTCTTCTCCAGTCTTCAGAAAATAGCTGGAAGTGGGGAGGCAGGAAAAGGTCCTTCTTTCCTTCCACTCTGCAGTTTTAATCTGAAATCTTAGGTGCAGTCCTGGGCCCACAGCTCAGAAACAGCTTGTGCTAAGGAAATTCCCTGTTGCAAAATGAGTCTAGAACAATGGGAATTTCGAACACTGCTCCAGTTATTTTATTGTCATACTGATGGGAATACACATGTTAAGTATTTTACTAACTTTTTGGTGAATCTGACATGTGCAAATATATTTCCACTAAAGACTGGCTGAAAAGGAAAAAAGGGGCATGTAAAATGTGATATATTGCTGTAATCTTTTTAGTAAAATTGGTCGCTAGCATCATCATTTCTTGACCCATCTAGTCGGGATATACTTAAGGTAGGGTGAGCACTAGTTCTAACAAGGACTGAACCAAGGCCTGCAACTGGCCAAACTTGCATATCGGCAAATACTATATTTTTAGGGCGGTTCACAAAAATGAAACGTCATGTGCAACAGTGTTTTCAGACTTGTTTAATGTGTAAGTTTATTTTTTTTCAGAATTTTGTTTGATACAGATTTTGTTGTAATAATCATGAAATGAAGTACTAACAAGAATTCTTTCAAAGCATTAATTCTATCATGCAACAGCAAGTTACCACTCTTCTTTGGAAAACTTTTTAAAAGGAATGCCTGACTAGCTTTTCAGATACTGTTTAATTGAATAACTTTTTGAAGAAATGCCTGAAGTAACTGATACTATATTTGAAGTCTTGTTTATTCTGTTACACTTTACTCCATGAAGACTCATTTATCCTAAATAGAACCCAATAAGCCCAACATGTATGTACAGAATATGTTTTTTAATGTGGTCCCATTGAGATACCGGGATGAAATTTTGGTGGAAGCTCTTAGAAATATGAAATAACTAATACAATTTGGGGGGAGTTTTTAAATCATTTTTAATCACTTAAAAATTAAATTATGTAACTTTAAATTTTAAAATAAGTCCATCATGTACCATATCATATTAAAGCCCAAGTTCTGAAGAGATTGGTATTTTTAGTTTTGAAATATCTCAATTCTGGGCTGAGGTTTTAAGGTTTTTGTGTAGTCCAGCAAGGCCAAAATTGTCAATTTTTTGAAATTTCAAACCCTCATAACTCAGAAACAGGATGAGATAAGAATTTTTTTTTAATTTGAACTTAGTTCTGATCATTCAACAAGTGTACAAAACTTTAAGAAAATTGGACGACACGAGGTAAAAGATCCATTAAAAATTGGACCACATTATATGGAATGACCCAAAGGTTTTCCACAATGTATATTATGAGTATTGATAATATCAGAGTAAATATCTTTTTCATTATCACAAATGTAAAAGATAATTGGAAATGTATTTGGAAGGAAAATCACATGAATTGTGTGTGTGACTCTTAATAATCTAAAGAAAAGTAAGTGAAATAGCCATCCATTATGTTGGAAGTGTACATTGCACATTGGTACACTTAACTTCATTTATGATGGAGTTAGCAAATGAGTCTTGGAGAAAATATGGGATAGGGAATCCGACTAATATTCTTCTATGTTTCTTGCCTGAAGCTAGAATTCAGCATAAGGTGTTAATTCCATCCGTCAGTGGCCATGGCACCCTGGGGTGCCTTAAATGATGGCCAGGGGTGCCGTGAGCAGCACTGGCCTCTGTCCCTCTTTCCTTCCCTCCCTTCCTCTGATGTCGTCTCGCGTTTCTGCTGGCTCTGCAGGCAAGGGGTGACCTAACTGGGCCCTGAGCCCCACTGGGGGGCCGCAGAAAGAATGTAGTTGGTCAAGGGAGCCGTGGACCCAAAAAGGTTGAAAACCTCTGCCATACATGATTGTGTGGAACATATATTTAATGCTGGAAACAAGATAAAACTAAATTAGAAGCAAATGGTCTAGCAAGTTATAGAACTATGCCTCCTTAATGTTAACAACGTTCATTTGAAGCACTGAAAGAAAGTTGCTGTGCTTCACCAAAATCAGGTTGCTTCATATATTAGCATTTTGTTTTATAACAGAACTTAAATATAGGTATTAATGCTGATATTTTCTCAGTTTTTCTGTAAGTTTTTAATTAGCATTTAAAAATAATAAAAAAGATATAGTAGAGTGCTGTTTGCTACGACTGTTGTGTGGAAATAAAATTACTGTATTTTGAGTCAATTGTGTGTTTGTTTTTAGGAATTGAATGATCTGGCACGTGATCCTCCAGCACAGTGTTCAGCAGGGCCTGTTGGAGATGATAGTAAGTACCTATAATTGAGAAAGGGCCTTCAAAAGAGCACTATCTCGGGCAGAGAGGAAAACTGACCTGCACATATACAATTGAGGTTAAACAAATTTCACACTGGAGACTACCTGCCCAAACTTCTCCAAAGGCAACATGCCCTTTATTTCAGCTTAAAATAAATTGGCGATGTCTCACTCTTTTTAAAAGTAGCTTTTGTTTACTTGACCATATGATAGAATCTTTAATGTTTTTCTTGAACAATTTTTTGTTGTTGATTTCTTTATAACTTTTTGTTGCAGGAAATTATGCATTCAATAAACTAAGCTTATAAATTTACTTGTAAGGCTGTCTCTCCAGTAAATTACTTAATGGAAAATAAATATGTGTTAAATGAAGCATTTAGTGACTAATATGAACAAACTTTGATAGGTCTATTACAAGAAGTAAGTTGTGTGTTGTAGTAATGAGGCAACTCTTCCACCTTTCTAAGTTTGTTCAAATTATCTGTAACCTTTCTAAGTAGTTATCTGTATTAAAATACTCAATACGAAAAATGCCTTTCTTCCAAATAGATTGGTGTGAAACATGAAGGGGTGAATAGAACACACATCTACTTCCACTGAACAATTAACTTCATTTGAGGCCTTGACTGTTGTTGCAGGAGTCATTCTGTACATGGCATGTTTTGTTGGGTTTCCTGCATGTTGCCCATACCCTGCTTATGTCACGACATTTGACAAAGTTGAGCGTGTAAGCCAGACAGTAAGCTTGAAATACTGACTCCCTAGTTGAGCTAAGAGTGAAATATGGGTGACAGGGATCTACTTTTGCTGCACCATATTCAAGGCATTCTGTTTGCACTGATCGCTGCAAGTAAGGTCATATCTTGTTTTCCTTCCTCTTCCAGTGTTCCATTGGCAAGCGACAATAATGGGACCAGTAAGTATCTTTCAAACCTGAAATAGCATTTATAAACTTAACTTTAAACTTTTTTCTAATAGTTTTTCTTTTCTTTTCAGAATGACAGTCCTTATCAGGGTGGGGTGTTCTTCTTGACGATTCACTTCCCAACAGATTATCCCTTCAAACCACCTAAGGTGGGTTTCTTGTTTACATCCTAACAGTGCTGGTGTAGTATCTGTTTTAGTAAATAAAAGCTATATGAAAGAATGTCCTTATCTTACAGGTTGCATTTACAACAAGAATTTACCATCCAAATATCAACAGTAATGGCAGTATTTGTCTTGATATTCTACGGTCACAGTGGTCTCCCGCATTAACTATTTCAAAAGGTAAGCATCGTGCTCTGAGCCTAAATGAATGGTAAGTGATTTCTAATGTTAGTGTAAAATGTATTGCATATTTCCCAAGGTGATTTATGATGCATCTCTTTAAATGGCACACACCCTTACTGCCCAGTTTCTTGATTATACCTAATTAAGTATTTAGGGCTATGTATGGTGCATTTTACAAAAGCTTCCTCTGCCCAGCTAGGTTACTGAATTTGAGCTGGCTAGTCTGCCAATATTTGACAGTTAGGAGGACCCTGTTTCAAGCATGTACTATGGTTGAGAGGGTGAAGTAGCATCTTGACATGTGTGCAACATTCGCCAGAAGATGCCTGTATCACAGATGAAGGAGATACTTGCTGCTTTCTAAGCATAACAAAGGTCAGTGTGGAGTACTGAAGGGATATATAAAATAAGGGACAAAACAGCGTCTGGAAACTAGCAGTCAATCAAAAGATATGACAACCAGAGGTGACGGTTTCTGGAAAATTTTGAATCTGAAAATTTTCTGATGCTCCAGGTAGATTGGGATCTGATTCGGCTTGTTTGATTTGTATCTAGTAAGCACAACACACACACACGTGAAAATAGGTATTGTGTGGTGGTCATTAGCCTAAATGGTTCTAAAAGAGGTTATTATGTGAATTCATAGTGTAGCTTCTTTACTAGCTAGTTACCAAAACTTGTCTCCATTTTGGTTTGTGTGTTTGTTTGTTTGTTTGTTTGTAATTAAGTGGTATATAAATTGTTGAAATGTAATAAACAATCATCTATAAGCAGCATACAGAAACTCAATACGGTTTTTGTGGTTTAGCACTGTTTCACATAAGCTGAGGGTAGAACAGATAATTGTTATGTGAGCCTCCTTGGGGAGAGTATTCTACAACTTGAGGGCTATTATTGAAAACATGAAACTAGCTGCATAGTCAGAATATGCTTTTAGGTACATTGAGTAATGCATTGAGTAATGAGAGGGACATTGAGCATGCCCAGGCAGCTTTCCCCTTTTACCATGGCTGCTACATGCATCTGATACCTGGAGCCTTTCTCTCCCCCCCCCCCCGCCCCTTTTGCTGTTTTTCTTGCTTGATGAGCCTGTGCACACAAACTCCCAATTATCTTGTGGATACACCACTGCCGTAAATAGCCCACCAAATTGCTGGAGCCAGTCGTCAGCAGGCCTTGCCGCAACAACCAATCACACGCCCAATCACCGCTGCCAATCTCCTGCTGCCTGGTCTTACCGTATATTCCACTGAGTGTGTTTGTAGCCTTTGTAGGCATGTGCTAGGCTTGGAACACTTCAGCTGAGTGGTGAGATACAAGTATGTCTTTAAATCTGCCATTGAAATCAGTTTAAATTAGATGGAGTTAAATTTGAAATTCAATTCAGATTTCATCCAAACTAGTTTTCCCCCTCCCCAAAGACTATCTGCTCTGCTAGCCTCCCCTTAGAGCATGGTGCTGATAACACCAAGGTTGTAGGTTTGATCCCCAGAAGGGACAGCTGCATATTCCTGCATTGCAGGAGAGTGGACTAGATCAGGCTTCCTCCACCTCAGCCCTCCAGTTGCTTTGAGATTACAATTCCCAGCATCCCTGGCCACTGGTGCTGCTAGCTAGGGATCATGGGAGTTGTAGGCCAAAAACATCTGGAGGCCCGAAGTTGAGGAAGCCTGGACTAGATGATCCTATGGGTCCCTCCCAATTCTGATCTATGATTCTGTTTGATAATCTGGTTCCCACTTCATGTAAGCAGCCCCTGACCTCATTTTGACCCAGTTTTGTCAGTCTCATTTTACATGTAAACTAATTGAATAGGTGACACATGATGTTCTGTTCAGCGCCTAACACTTGGTAAGTATCTAGATCTTTGGAAGATGCTAGTTAAAAAGTATTTGGAAGGGGGTGAGGCAACAGCAGGTATGTTGCATAGTGGTGGCAAGGAAGATAGCCCTGTCACAATTTTAAGTCCCTTTGTGATTAATTATTTCAGTTTAACTAGTGGTACATGTGTGCTGTCACTCCATCCCCAGTAACTGTTCTGTACAGGCAGAGTGTTGTTTTAAGAGGGATCTACCAAACCACACACACTGGCCACACACAAAGTTTAAAAGGTCAAAGATTGTTTAATTAGCTAAAGGCTTGGAAGAAGAAGAATGTTTTTGCTTGGGACCTAAAGATATGCAGTGTGGGTGTCTAGGGAGAGTGTTTCGCAAATGGGGAGCCTCTACAGAAAAGGCCTGTTCTTGTGTTGCCATCTTCTAGACCTCCTGTGGAGGAGACACATGAAGAAGGGCCTCAGATGATGATCACAGGGTGTGGGTTGGTTCATATGGGGAGAGGTGGCTCTTGAAGTACTGTTGTCCTGAGCTGTTTAGGGCTTTATAGGTCAAAACCAGCTCTTTGAATTGGGCCAGGAAACTAATTGTCATCCAGTGCGGTCAAGCCAGGATTGGTGTAATATGTTCAAAGCATCTTGCCCCGGTGCGCAGCCTGGCTGCCGAATTCCTGCACAAGCTGAAGTTTCCAAACTGTCTTCAGAGGCAGCCCCACATTGCAGTAATCTAACCTGGAGGTTGCTAAAGCATAGATGACAGAAGCGTGGCTTTCCCTGTCGAGATAGCTGGACCAGCAGCCAAAGCTGACGGAAGGCACTAAGCACCTCCGAGGCCACCTGAGTCTGAAGCAGCAGCCAAGGATCTAGAAGTTCCCCCAAGCTGTGTACCTGCTCTTTCAGATGGCATGTAGCCCCATCAAGAGCAGGCAACCTCCCATCCATCTGGTCTACAGAACCCCAACCACTAAGTGTGTCTCATTCTCATTCCACTTCTTGAGGAGTGATTTTTCCACTGCCTCTTTCAAGCAGGCAGGGAGCTCCCTGATCTTGCAGGGAGGCATTAATCACACCCCTGGTCCAGCCAGCCAGCCTTCCTTCCTCTCCCTTCTAGTTTTTTTTAGCTAAGAGGGGCAAGGGTCCAAACTGGGAGCAGTCAGCCTGACTGATCCAAGCACCTTTTCCACATCCTTGAGCTGAAACTTACCTAGCTAGTGATGTGAGATGGGGAAACTATCCATAGAAGAAGCTTTCCACTTCCCAAAAAATATTGTTCCATTAAAAAAAAAAATAGAACCAACACCAACCCAACTGAGCAAAGCTGTTTTTAACCCCCCCCTTGCCCCTTGTTGTTTTTTTAAACAAACCCTCTGTTCAAATCAAATATTTCTGATTGCTTGGGGGGGAGGGACTTCAAATTATGATCAGTTCAGGGCAGCCTTCTCCACCTGGTAGTTTTCAACTGTGCCCCAGGCAGCATAGCTGGAGCTGATGGGAACAGCTGGAAAGGCTTGTTGCAGTTAATACAATTATCCAATATTACAGCAAATTGTTGTGTTTGAAGCCTTTTTGGTTCCATTGCCACATAAGATGGCTATAGTTTTCCCCATTGCAGTAAGTAGCTTTCAGTGTATATGAATTCTGTACAAGTGAGTGCTGTTCCATGATGGACCTTGTTTTATCAGCCATAAATAGTACCAGAAGTGTCAAGTAAGTGTCAACCTCGTAGAGGAAGTATCAATGTATTTGAAAGAGAATCCCAGGAAATCTGGGATTTTTAGCTTTATACACAAACTATGGAACATCTAAACCAGCAGGGACCATCATGTTTCTAGTTTTTGTTATTCTTTTATGTATTTTTAGTGTAGAAGAGTCTTTGTTTTCCTTAAAAATAAAAAGTCCTTTAGGATTGCAGGTGAGGTAGGAAGGAACATACATCCCCAGTGCCTTAAATTGGACTCTTGTGCCAATTCTGTTCTCATGCTTCCCAGGCTCCAGTATTTAAACTCCAACCGGCAATGTGGCTGCTGTTTCCCTACATTAGTCAGGAAAGGCATAGTTTCTAATTCTGCAAGCAGCCCCAATGCGTAGAGTAGGGAAGATGTGTCAGATGGGAAGGTGCTTGAACCACACCCGTGTTTTTAAGCCATGTGGAAGGAGAGCAGTTTCAACCTACACCTCAGTGCTAGATTATAAAATTACAGAAAGGCCTGGATGGAGGCTAAATGAAGAATAGAATGAACTTGCTTCTTACCTGTATTCAGCTGTACTTAAAAATTCTAATGTAGTGTGTTCTTCCCTCTAGTACTTTTGTCCATCTGTTCTCTGTTGTGTGATCCCAATCCAGATGATCCCTTAGTGCCTGAGATTGCACGGATCTACAAAACAGATAGAGAAAAGTGAGTATGGAAGGTTTTTTTTAAAGCTGAAAACCTGAGAATGGACAGTTTGAAGACTTTGTCAACTAACTCTTTGACTAACTCTGTGCCATTGGCACTATTCTTTCTTTTTACAGGGTGTCATCTGCTTCTGTCAGCTGCCTTGTGTTTTTATTTCCAGCTTTAAAGTATTTGATCTCAGTCAGTAATTAGGGTTATTTTTCCAATTGGGCTGCTTAATCCAATAAAATTTCAGTTAGTGTCCTCTGCACCTTTATACAGGACTGTTTTGCAGTTGCCTCTCTTCGTCCTTGCAGTTTCTGCTTTTAGGCTGCAGAGGGAGAAACAACTTAAACTTCTGCCACAAGACAACCTGATTCTGGTGGTGGTAGGTGAAAAGGAAATACATGAGTGGCTTCATGAGTAGCTGCAGGGATAATAATGGACAGATATTGCTAATTGTAGTGAAAAATTCTTGAGGTTCAATTGAGTCGTTTTAATTATATATTTTTCCAGTCAATTACTACTATGAATAGTTCAGCTTGAGGCAATTCTATTACAACATTGAACTAAAACTTCCTTTAACAGTGTAAAAAGCACTTAGTGAAGCTTGAGCACAATGAAAGTCCACACTCTGAAATGCAGCATCTTTCAAGACCCGACATCAAGATAATTGTAAAAGTGACAAGTCAGGACTAAAAACAAGAACCTGGAATTGGTTCTTAACATTTGAGCATCTAAAAGTGCAAACTTGAATAACAGGTGATTGCTGCGTAAAATGTTTCTTAAATTCTTCCAGTTATAGTTGCTGATATTAAACTGAAAATCTACTGATTTGTTCAGATGGCAAGAGCAAGTGGAAACAAAGATTCAAAATTTAGAAGATATTGCAAGACTGTTGCTCATGTTGTTGTTTTAATGGTTTTCATTAATGAACTGCAAGGCTTTCTGAAGTTTTTCTTGAATATTTTGTACTGCTTAAGAACTCAAACATTTCAAATGCCTTTTAACCTCTGTGTGGTATGTGTATGTGGTTACTGTTTTTGTTTGTTACTATGTATGGTATGTCTCTTTACATTGTAAACTATCCTTTGATCCTCAGATAAAGGGCAGTATAGAATTATTATTATTATTATTATTATTAGTAGTAGTAGTAGTAGTATTAACTGTACTCTGATTGCAATGTTATGGAGACTTTTAAAGTTACTTTGCCTAGTGCTTTAGCTTGATTGGGTGCTAGAAATAACTTATGGTTAATATGATCTTAGCAAAGGGCTTCTACTGGTTGGTGCAGTTTGCACTTCAGTAATCATCCTCTTTTTATACATACAGGTACAACAGAATAGCTCGAGAATGGACTCAGAAGTATGCGATGTAATTAAAGAAATTATTGGATAACCTCTACAAATAAAGATAGGGGAACTCTGAAAGAGAAAGTCCTTTTGATTTCCATTTGACTGCTTTCTATGAGCCCACGCCTCATCTTCCCCTGTGCACATGTTTACCTGATACAGCAGTGCTGCGTGTTGTACATACTTGGAACAATGAAATACTGTATTCCATACCAACATTGACTCCTAGCAAAGAAATGTGTGTGAAAAGCCAGTTCTTCAAAGTCTAGTTGTGAGCATAAAAGCATTCCTAAAATATTTAAATTGGGCATAAACCAAAGGTAGGGGGAGGGGGCAGAGAGTAAAAGGCTTTCAGTGATTGAAAAGGAGAATTTTGTTTAAGTGGAATCCTTTTAAACTCATAACAGTTATGAAAAGCGTATGTGAAGAACTTGAAGCTGTTTCTGTATTTTTATTCTGAAGGACCTACTTAGGTAAATGTATGACCAACAAGATCAAACTGTACCCACATCCTGTGTTTAAAGGTCTAAGTTTAACTGGTCAGCATTTAAATGCATTGGAGCTATTAGTGCATCAAGTGACGTTGATTTTGTTTCAGCTCCTCTCCCCCTCCCCCCTTCCCTTCATAATTTTGGTTTGTATGTGTTTTCTCAGTTAACATAGCTAATAGCTCTTATTTTCTTAAGTTTTTAACTGCTTAGGTCTTTCTGGATGTAAGGGTAAAAATTCATTTGACAGACTTGTGTATATTTAAAGACCCAAATGCTCCTTTGGAGCTTGTACGTTCAAGAATGATTAATCTGTGTAATAAACTGATTACTACAGTCATTACATATAACTGTGTGAATAGGCTTAATTTTTTTATGGGCTAAGATTTAAAGTCTATAGTTCTTGTTTTTAGGAAGTTGCATTTGAGAATAATCAGTCTTTAAGCTTCATCATAGAATAAGCAAGTCAGTGAGACAAACTTCAAGTAGGTGTGAAAACACCAACGTCCATGATAAACTGGAATCTGGAAATCTGAATGCCTGTATGTCAGAGCTTGACTGTTAAGCCAGATAAGCAACTTGCTCATTGAACAACATTTCAGAAAGTTCTGTTTAACATGGGACTAAACCTGTGCCTGTGTGCTGTAGCGAAGGGATTCCTTGTGTAATTTTTAAGAATGGGTGTAAAAGGGCAAGGTGGGATTTTTTTTACAGAGGCATCAGCACAGACTAACACAAAATATAGCTTTTAAAGACTGTTGCACTAAATCACTTGGAAATGTTCACTGTACATGAAATATCTTTGGATGGCATTCATTTGAAAAATAGTAAAAATGTAGTTTAAAGTTTACTTGTTAAACGAGTGTCTCTCTCTCCCTCCACCCCAACCTTAAATGTGAATAAGTATGATCTGCAGTGGAGAGGTGCTGGGCTCTATCTCATTCAGCCACAGTGCTCTTCCTTGTCTATTTTCAAATACCCTTGCACAGTTAAGGAATAAATGTCCACTACTTGTTATATATTTTTTCCATGGGTTCTCTCTTAATGTTCCTTGTTTGTGGATCTGACATTCTGTTGGAGGTTCCTACCTGTTCTTTGAAAAAAAAATGTCTGTCGTTAAATTTTCAGTTTCCAAGAACAAGTCAGGCAGCCTACAACTTTGTGATAATATTACAGTTTTTATATCTTGCATTTCAGACCCACCAGGGATTCTTTATACTTGTATATCAAATATTTAAAGTTTACATTTAAAATGCTTGGAGTTTCATAAAATTATCTCAATCCTCTCAGCAACCCAGCTAGAGAATCCAGCATTATATCAAATTGCTGTTGAAGAAAGATGCGTGATGAGGGACACCCAATGAGCTGATGGTTGGACTGAGACTCAAATAAGAGCTCTGCACTTGCAACTAATTCTCTTCAGTCACAATACAACTAATGGCCTACTGAATCCTTCTGTGTACAGGTTTCTGGTCATAATGAGTAGCTGTAGATTTGGATAGTAGTATAACCTCGTCTATGAGTAAGACAGAACATTTCTCCACATGACTACTTATGTGCTATATGGGCAGAACTAATTTGTTTTTGTTTTTCTGGCCTATTGGAGATTAGGTTGTGTGTTTATTCAGCCTACATTATTCTGGTTGAATTTTTATCCAAGCTGCTCTTCAGCTTCAGTGAGAACAGGAAACAACTTACAAATACTTAGCTTGAAAAGTATAATGAATGGAAGGCTGAATGTGGTAAAAAGAAAAAGTGCTATGGTTGAGAGGCAAAGACAAGGCAAGGACAAAGCCCTTCAGACTGCAGTTCAGAGTGACGGGGGAACAAGGGGAGAGAAAAGGGAGGGATGGTGGAAGGCTTGGCTACTCAGGAGAATTGGTCTACACAGGATTAAATATTTTACATAGAAACAACCAATCTATGTACATGGCACTTTTGAAACAAGGAGTAGCTGGGTCCCTTAAAAATCTAAAACAGACCAAAGGGACCTAACTGGAGAAGAGAGACTGAAATAGTGGGGAAACAATTACAGTCATACCTTGGTTGTCGAATGCCCTGGAATTCGTCCATTTTGGCTCCCGAACGCCACAAACCCAGAAGTGACTGTTCTGGTTTGCAAACTATTTTTGGAAGCCAAACGCTCGACGGGGCTTCCACAGCTTCTGATTGGCTGCAGGAACTTCCAAGGTACAACTGTATTTGAGTTGCTCACTTAGGTATAGTTGCATAGGGTATATGGACAATGCTAATTAGCAGTGCTAATATTTTCCTGTTACCAAGTTTTCCACCTGTGCCAGCCAACAGTGGTGAGTAGGGGCTGCAAATCGTAGAACGCTGGTAAGTGGCCCTGTGAATTGCAAGAGCATGCTTGCTTTTGCAGCAGTATGCCATTCTTGCCCATAAAGTGCCACTAGCAACATTATTATTAATGGCACTTTATGCAAGTAAACTTGGATATGGAAAAAGTGGAGGAAGAGGAAATATGAACTAGGCTGTTGGCTCAGCTTGCAGATCTAGCATTTAGGAATGAGGAAAAATGGGTATATGAAGTGGGGGAGAAATACTGCCTTATGTGTGAACCTTTTGAATCTCTTCATCTTATTTCCCAGATGCTAAACGTACACTAAACCTTATTTTGATTTTTCCTATGATCACTCTGGTTTCTGAGATTCCTGCACACACATTTTCAAGCATGTTTTTGCAGTCACAAAAGCTTTAGAGTTGTGCAAAAGACAACCAAACGCCACATGCTAAAGAAACCAAACTGCACATTTTCTGTGTTCCAGAATTTGACACAAATGCAACCTTCTGATCAGGTTTGTGGTGTAAAGTATTTAAAAACTAAGGTAAACTAAAGTTCAGCTCTTCTAGGAAGCAGAACATGTTAATATACTACCAAGTATTTGATAGTTGTGCCTTAGTCTAGACTATTTCACACTCCGAAAAGTTTTTAAAGGAATAAATTATTTGAACTCCCATGTATTTTTCTGCTCCATTTCACGAACAGTTAAGCAGCTAACCTCATAAAACACTCCTGGCAAAAAAGCAATTCTCTGAAAAGTTCTGAAGCCTGAATTTATCCAGTGCACTTGCCAAAGCAGGCATTGTGTTTTGTTGCATTGCAGAGTTGCGATGTGGCAGCCCTGCTACCACCAGCCTTTTTCGCTGCTCTTCTTGAGGGAATGGGGTGCCTCAGGCAGGGCTTCCTCGCCTTGCTCCCTTCATCAGACTCTGTTGCAATGAGCTTGGCCACCTGGCTGTAGCCAGTGTATCCTCTTCCCCGCCTTTTATCTCCCCCTCTCCCTTCTCTAACGCTAATCTGATAGGGATGCGGACAGATTTAGGCAGGTATTGTTCTCTGGTTCACCCTTATTAGTCCTGAAATGCAGCTACAGGTCAGCCTAGTTTTGGAATCAGGTCCCAACCAGGGCCAGCCCACCCATGTGGCAAAGTGAGGCGACCGCCTCAGGCCGCCTTCCCTGGCAGGGAGGGTGGGCACCATTTTGTGGTTCAGTTCTGGTGCGAAAATGTCCTGGGCTGGCCCTGGTCCCAACTCTTAATTAAGAGGATACAATATGTGTTTTAATTGTGACATTAGGATATAGGTCCAGCATAACGGCCATTTCTGCTTTCAGGAAGGATAAGCATCATAATTCAGACTGCCTCAAGAAAAAACTTGCATTGGCTTTGGTTCAAGATACCCATAAAACTACACAGTCCCCATCCAATGTGTCTTTGCTACGCTGCACTGTCCTTTTCTACATATCAAGAGAAGGGGGGTGGTTGTGTGTTGGATCATGCTGTTAGGGGCTTGGAGTCATACCTTTCAACCCTAGCCCATCACTTGGGGCAGCCAGGCTAAATTCCTTTATTTCCTTTTATATTCCTGAGCATTTGAAGAGCCTTGAAGTGCCTTCCCCAAGAGACAAATCACCAAGCTTTGTGAACTAGTTGCTTACTGAAAGGGAAGTATTCACAACAGATCCCACCCACCCCCCATTGTCAAAAGACATTTTAAAATTCTTATTTTTTCTAGTGAGAGTCCAAAACAACTGAGTGTCCTGAAGTTTAAAATATCTGAAGCCTAGCTTTCTCATAAGCAGTGCAAAGTTGTTTTTACTGGCTTGGAAAAGTAGCTACCCAGATCAATGTAATCAGGCTGGTGTATTACTTCTATTATGATATTCAGAGAATAATTGTCTTTTTTCTCTTGTAAACCTACTATGGAGACACGGGTGGCGCTGTGGTCTAAACCACAGAGCCTAGGGCTTGCCAATCAGAAGGTCAGCGGTTCGAATCCCCACGATGGAGTGAGCTCCCGTTGCTCAGTCCCAGCTCCTGCCCATGTAGCAGTTCGAAGGCACGTCAAAGTGCAAGTAGATAAATAGGTACCGTTCCAGCGGGAAGGTAAACGGCATTTCCGTGCACTGCTCTGGTTCGCCAGAAGTGGCTTAGTCATGCTGGCCACATGACCCGGAAGCTGTACACCGGCTCCCTCGGCCAATAAAGCGAGATGAGTGCTGCAACCCCACAGTCGTCCGCGACTGGACCTAACGGTCAAGGGTCCCTTTACCTTTTAAGCTTACTATGGAAGCCACTTGAGTAATAAAATGCCATTCAGCCATCTCTTACAATAGTCAATCTTTGTCTAGCCATAGACGCTACACTTGGATCAATTGGAACGATATCAATTGAAAATGTAATAGAAGAAGCAGGAACTTCAGTCTAGAAATTGACAAATGAAAACATCCATGTTGAAATCTTAATTGAGAAGAACATGGTTTAGATCCTGAGTACTAGCAGAATGGGGTTGGTCACAAGTGACTTTCCTGCCCAGCAACCCCCCAACTTCTCCTGAGGTTTGGTGGACCCTCCTAGATGGAATGAGTTTTGGCTGGGGGTGGGGTTTGAAGTGAAAGGGCACATTGCCAAACAAACAAAAATGTGGCATCTTTCATGGAAAAAAGCAGAACTTTGTGTACAAGTTGCCTTCCGTCTGATCATGATAAACTAATATCAACTGAAGGACTGTCTGCTTCCAGAGCTGCCTCCATCTGCAACATTTCACCTGGCTGCATCAGAGGAAGAGGTTGAGACAGCAAGGCCCTCTTCATCAGCTGGGCTGTGAGCAGCTTCCATTTAGTTCCTTTCCTCCAAGGTGATGACATAGCTTCAGGGGTTCTTAGATGAAGCAATTTTTCTTGGACCTATTTCAGGCCTCATTCTGAGACCGGCAACTTTGTTTGATGGTCTACACTGAGAACTGCGTCACTGTTACTCTTCTGGCTCTCTTTGTGGCTTGACTTTGTCACCCTTTTTGATCACCTGTCCAGAGTGGGTTTTGGAGGCACTCTTTTGCAACGGTTCTAGTACTTCTTGGTGGGTTCCTTCCCAAAGGAGGTGATAGAATCTTGTTTTTTGACTTACAGTGGTACCTCAGGTTACATACTTAATTAGTTCCAGAGGTCCATTCTTAACCTGAAACTGTTCTTAACCTGAAGTACCACTTTAGCTAATGGGGCCTCCTGCTGCTGCCGGAGCACGATTTCTGGAACGAATTACGTACGTAACCAGAGGTACCACTGTATATGGTGCCCTTAAGGTTCCATCTTGTGCCCCATGCTTTTTAGTCATGGGGATTTGGAGTCCATTGTTATCAATATGTGGCTGACACATTGCTCTTTCTCCTTTCTGTCCGATTCTAATAAAGTTGCCGGAGTTCTGAATCAGTGCTTGGAGGTGACAATGGGCAAGATGAGGGTTAAAAAATGTGAAGCTTAATCCAGGCAAGACAAAGGGTGCTCCTTGTTAAGAAAGCAGCTAGTCTGGGAACAGCGTTCAGCCTGC